AGTGCTTTTCCGGAAAAGCGTCCTGCCAATCTAGACGTGCTTTTCCGAAAATGCTTTTAACGGAAAACTTTTTCGTTAAAAGCATTTCCGGAAAATCATGCCAGTGTAGACGTAGCCCTGAGGTTTTGTTGGCTGCAGCATGCCTCTTTAACTGTTTGATGCCAGAAGCTAGTACTAGCATGCAGTGACATGGCACATCTAGCTTTCCTGCTACAGACAACAAGTGGGTTTGCAACATACATTTGTTTCCCTTACATTTATGACGCACAATGGTGCAAGCCCTCCTACTTTTTGTGTGACAGCAAATATGATTTAAAGATCAGATCAGTGTCATGATCAGGAAAATGCCTTTTTGCTTTGTGTGACATTGTGGAAAATATTGTCTGGGATAATTCATCCTTAGAACAACCTGACAGGTTGTCTGTTAACCTGGTTTGAGGGAACTGTTACTAGCTTCCTTGTCCTTTTAGTGTTCTCTCTGTAGTTCAGATAGTTTGCTCTGTAATACTAGTTTTATGTCTCCTTCCTGTCAGTCCTTATGGTAGCTGCAATCATTGTTATGGTAAACAATGGCGTGTACTCTTGGAACTGTCATTCATGTTATTTATTATGAAATAATTTATTTTCTTAGTAATCCATTTGTCAAGTCAATCACCTGTCCCTGAATGCTCCCATGAAAGATTGCTCTATGCTGGGATTCAGTTCAGGAATGGAGTGCAGTATCTGTAATTAACAATTCCCACGAGCAGTGTATTTTTCTTCTTCCTTTTCTAACCTAACTCCTTCACTGTCTTAAACTAGCCTGTGAGCAAGAGGCCATTTCAAATGGCTAGAACATTTTGTAGAGACTGAGTGGGTGAGGTAATAGCTTTGTTGGACCAGCTTCTGTTGGTGAGAAGAGATGAGTGTTTGAGCCATACAGACCTCATCTGAAGGTGGTCTTTGTGTAACAAATTCATACACTAACGACCAGATTTTCAAATTACCCTCTATATGTGAGCCTGCATGTACTGAACATGTACGTACCATCAGGTAGTTAGTTACATGGTGGGGATGGGGTTGTGTTCAGTTTGGCTAAGGTCATTTGTTTCTTGCAAAGGCTCATCTTTGCTATGATTTTTTTCTTATATGGAAATTGTAGCATTTGAAATTTGTGCTTGTAGATTTTTTAGTGATTCCTGCTTTAATTTGGTCTGAAGCATCAGATTTTTCTAGCTTGAATGCTTTAATTTGAAGTATACATGTAGACATAACCCTCTCTTCTGTTGCAAAAATAATTGGTAAATTGCATACCCACAACATTGGTGCTGTAGTCCAAAGACAGAGTTTTATTATGAAACTATGAAGTTTTATTATGAAACTACCTTTACTATGAAGGTTTATTACCAGTGAGGTGAATGCAACCAAAGGTCTCCTCCCTTGAGTGACATAGAATACATAGATATTGTCACCAATATGCAGTGTGTAGAATTGTTTTTGTTAGTCATTTTAAAAACAAAAATTGGAGAGTATCCGCAATACAGCTATTGATGTCAGTGTTGGTAGCCATTCATATTTTTTTACATTAATCTCAAGTATATATAGAAAGTTGTATCCACCACTTAAAGCACTTTTTTAAGCTAGTCCCTCCATATTTTCAAGTACCAATTTGCAAACTAGAATTATTCTACATGCTACTTTTGACAAAATCTAAAGTGGTTAAGAGATAACCATTTTAATGGAGAAAAACTAATCTTAAGGCTCACCGATAGGACTCATATTAAGGCCTCTTATTAAGTTTGTTTCACTTATACTAACATCTTTGTCCCCTCTTTCTTTGCTCCTAGATGCTGCCTTTTCTTTTCTTTGTGCTTTGCCTCTTTTAGGCTCTGGTGTCTGTTACTTCCATCTGAACAACAAGAAGGTAAAATTTAGTGTTTTTGTTTTTATGCTATAGCACTGCTCCATCATAGTTTTTGCATGGAAGGAAAAGGCAGCCATCTTTGAATCATATAGAGCAAGCAGTGTGCTATCCATTATTCTCTTATTGCTTCCTACTTCATATACTTTTCATATACAGAAAATTTTACAACAGCTTAGTGATATGTTGTTGCTTGTCTTTTGTGAACAGTGCCTTTCCCCTTGATTTTAATTGCACCATTTGACCTGAAGTTTGTTGTGGGATTTGTTTGTATTGGTGTAAAAAGGACAAGTCAGTTTGTGTAGTAAAGTCTTTTGGGAGATTATGTGCTTTTAAAAATGAAATGCAAAAATATTATCCCTAATATACAGTTCCTCCAGAAGGCTCAGGGAGTGGTGTTCTTGTTCATGGAGCATTGCTATAGAAAGTTAGAGTATAAAACAATAATTATATACAGTAGATGGCCTAGCACTTGTAGTTGCTACAGTGAATCTAGGTGATATTTTAATCCTTTTATCAAATGCCAAGCTTTTATCTCTATGCAGAACATTTAGATAAGTAAACTGAATAATAGTATTAAAAACATTCAAACTAGGGCTGCCAAGCGATTGAAAAAAAATTAATCGCAATTAATTTCAATTTTAATTGCACTGTTAAACAGTGTTAGAATTCCATGTATTTAAATATTTTGGAAGGCTTTATTTATTTTTGTGGGGTCCTGGGATTCAGAGCTGCCTAGGGTTTCAGCCCAGCATAGTGTGTAGGGCTCTGGGTCCCATTCTTCTTTATCACTTGCTACCTGGGAAGCTGTGGGCTGGGGCTGCTCCATTCTTCCCTTTTGCCCATCAATAATCACATGGGCATTTCCCTTAATGATGGAGAATGAGGAATGTATTTAGAATCTTTGACTTCCGATCATCATACACAATGACCCCTTGCTTTGAAATTAGCATTTTTCTATTAAAGTTCTTCATCTGCATTTCACAAGGCTTCTTTCTTATTCAGTGGGTTATTTAGTTACAGGTATATACACAATGTAAATATTTGATATTACATTATATTGAGATATAGATAAATAAAACAATGAAAGCAATATCCCATTAGTTTTCATGTTGTTTCATGTTTAGAATTCAGTTGTATGCTATTTGGGGCAACACCATATTTTCATTTGTTTTGGTTGGATCATAGAAAACTTTAAATACATATATTATTATTATTTATTAATATTTGTATAGTCTAAAAGCTGAATATCAAGATGTAGTTGTGTTATATTTTTTAAAATAAACTTGTTAGAGAATGTGTGTATACAAATCAGCTTACTGAACTATTGAAACATACTGCTAGATTTAAATAGATATAGTGCCTCTTCAAAACTAAGAAATGTCCTGATTTTATTTTCCTAAGGAATAAAACAAGGAACAAAACGGTTAGGATGAGTTGACTGCTTTTACTGTTATTTTACATATTTAGAATATTGATTTTGTGACCTTATGTTTTATTGACATTTCCTTTGTCATAATATTATAGAAATTATTTCTCTTCCATCAGTCCACATTTATTTTTAGGACTGGATGTCCTTGAATTTTATTCTGACACTTTATTTTTCTTTTCTTTTTTTTCAAAATTGTGGGTGTATTTAATATTTGTTCCTATGTAGGGACACCTACACGTTACTAATCAATAAAAATATTGATTTACTATAACTCATTCACCCCTGGAAAATTTACATACAATGATTATTCTTTATTTATAGTGATTTTACTGCATCCATACTCAGTGCCCAACTCCCTTTAAGAGCTGGAATAACGTTCTGGTTGTCTTCTTTCATTTATGTATTGATTGATCAGTAAATTGCTGCTCTTTGAAGATTCAGATTCTGGGCTGTTTTCAAAATTGTCTTCTCATTTTGCGCACATAGCTATTTATGCATGCAGTTATTGTAACTGTCTATTCAGATTGGGTCATTGGGCATCTGAGTATCTAGTTTGAAAAGTCAAATATCTGTGTGTGTGTTCAATTACAGTAATTGTGCATGAGAGCAACCATGCAAGCAAAGCATCTGTCTGAAACAACTTAAAACAACTATCCGTCTGGTTGTAGCATCTGCTTAAGTAACAGGAGAGGAAGCATTAAATGTGGCACGTAGCAATTACAAAGCCATGGAGAGTCGAGGTTAAGATTCCATACACATTACAATTTATAGCACTAGTCTTCCCTAATCCATTCAGGCAGGGATAACTTGTCTGGAATATTTACCAAGATACTATAGCAGAATTAATGATAACTTTTTTCATTTTCAGTAGATGACTTTTAATTCACCTCATTAACAATAACTATTTCCCACTTTTAGGAAGGAACAACCAAAATTGGAAGAAGTGATTCAGAGCAGGAGCAGGATATTGGTAAGAAAATCATATTACAGAGGGTTTCATATTGTGTTCTCTTTACTTAAGTTCTTTTGCTTTTCTAGGGTAACATTTTTCTTTACCAGCCATCTCCATGTGAGAAGTTGAGGAGAACATAGCTGGTTGTAGGTATGCTATATAGTAGTGTTAGAGTTAATTTCTGCTGCTATTTATTGGGTCAAGAAACACCATGGAAGTAATTGAGGACCTACAGTTTTTCCCCAGTAGTGTAAACTACATTAGGGATTGAAAATTACAGAGGTTCAAAGTCCAGAACTTGCTATATTAAATCCTGTATCAGTGCCTCTTCTCTAACCCCCTGCTGCAAAAGCTAGAGAGAGAGAAAAAAACTAGCAAAGTATCTTTCCTGTGGTTCAATATCATTCTTTCCAGCTGTGTTGGTTTATTAATATTAGACATTAAAAGCACTTCACTTTCATTCTTTCTCCCCGCTTCATTCTGGATGTGATTTTTAGCAGCCACAAATTCAAGAAATACCAAAGCTAGTAGAAACTGATACGTATTACAGAAATTGTTGTTTGACCATAGTACTGTGTAGCTAGAGGTTTTATTCTAAAGTAAATGTGGAAAAGAGTTTTTAAAATAAACCTAAAATGATCAAATAAGAGACCATTAATTTATAGTTTTGCAGGGTCAATGGATTGAAAGGAACCATTGCATTATAGATAATAAGTGTGGGATTGTGACACTGCGGCCAGCCCAGGGAGCATATTGTACTGTAAATGGACAGGAAGTCAGTGGTGCTTGTCATCTGTCACAAGGTGAGTCTCACAGTTCCTTTTTGTGATATTGGTGCTAATCGTACAGATATCAGTAAGTGAATATAGTATCTTAAAAACCAACAATGGTCCTGTAGCACCTTGGAGACTAACAAAAATATGTAAATAGTATCATGAGCTTTTGTGGGCACAACCCTCTTCTTCAGATGACAAATACGGAGCAAAGGCTCAGAGTTTGAAATATAAAGCAGAAAAAGAGGGGAGAGGGGAAGGAGAAAGAAAAGGGGAGGGGGAAAACCTGCCAATTAAAGTGTCCGTGCTAAATAAGGCTAATAGCGTGGGCTGTAAGTGCCTGATACTTAGCTTTTGATGTAATTTGGGTGTTGAATATAATGGCCCATCCAGTTCACGTCTTTGCTCATGCCTTGCAAGATTGTATCAAATTTGCTTATAAAGCCTAGTTCCGCAGATTCTCTCGAATTGATTCCTGAAATTGCTTTGTAAGAAAATAGCCACTTTTAAATCCATTAATGAGTACCCAGGCAAGTTAAAAATACTGTGACTCCATTGCTCAACATTCTTTCCCTTCTTTAGGATGGAACAATACAACCCAATAATCCTTTGAGTTCAGAAATTAGGATCTTCAGAAGTCATACATGTCTATTAAATGAATGGACATGTGTGTTATGTTAAAATTAAACAGTTATGGTAATGTTATTAATTTTAGCTACAGGAATTCTTAGTTCTCTGAAAATAGAAGACTTACTAAGGATTTCTTCTGACCAACGAAGTTATGGGTTAGGTAAAACCCCTCTAATGTGTCCACTGCAAATGCCACAAGGGCTTGGCTTTATGTGGACTGTGCTAGCATGGTTGAACTACCTTGAATTTCATTTCTTATTGGAATCTGATTTTTATCAAAATTGTAGACACTGAGCTACAGAGTATAGGGGTTGTCTCTGATTTCAAAGTTAGAGATTTAAGGTAGGGTTTACAAAAGCACCTCATAGACTCCAGTGATGTCTGTGGAATAGACCCCTTTTTGTGGTTTCAAAAGCAGACCCTGGGAAACCACTTTTGTTGGCTGCCCAGAGCTTCTGCTATTAGGAGATGCTTCGACTTTCACACACCATTACCAGACAGTCTTATTCAGCTTACTAGGACAAGTCTTTATCTTCTTACTGACTTTTTTTTTAATTCTACTTAAGTTCCAAGACCATGCTGTGGGATTAAAATGGCCTTATGCCGGAGTGTTTCTAATTTTTTCTTTGGTTTTTTTTTTTTTTTACACTTTATAATTTTTGCTTTAGATTTTTTCTCAGTTTTTGTAAAATTTTTCACTTTAAAGATACTTGAGTATATTAATAACTGACTTCTGGGACATTTTCTCTTATGTGTTCCTTGTCATTGAGATGGAGTCAGTTTTCTACAGGTTAGAATAAAAAGAAATTTCTAATACAAGTTGAATCTCTCTAGTCTAGGTTTCTCTAGTCTGGCAATATCTGCCCTCTGACATGATTTTAGTTAGCTGGATATTCACTCATCATGGGTGTAGCCAAGTTTCCTACAGTCTCATAAAGTTTGTTTACAGCCACCAGTCCTGGTTCTTATTGTTTTGTGCTGTTATTTAGCTCTAATTTACCCCCCTAAATATCTTCTAAGAGCCCAGTAGGCAACAGAAGTGTTGTCTATCAGCATTACCAACATTGACCTCCTATTGTCCACATTTTCTGATTCGACACCAGTCAGTTCCTGAGGGTGCTGGACTAGAGAGGTTCAACCTTACTGGCTTTGACACTGGCCTGCATGGTTTAACATTTTTAAAAACTCTAAGGATGTTAATTATCGGGTAATTAACTAATAGACTAGTCAATGCATTTTTGCATCAACTATTCGTAGTCGATAGGGCGCCTCTGTCTTTGAAGTCTACACGTCAAAAGTGAAAGTGCAGTGTAAAGCCTATGGTCAGCTGGGGACTCGCTGACCCCAGGCTTTATGCGGTGCTGCCACTTTGAAATGCCACAAGGAGCCCAGCGCTGGGCTCCCCGGCGTTTCAAAGTGGCAGTGCCGAACGGAGCCCAGTTTCAGTTGAGGAGTCCTGGGCTCCATGTGGTGCTGCTGCTTTGAAGTACCCCTCCCCCCTTACTACCTATATTTGATAGAGGCAGCAAGGTGGGGGAGAAGCAACTAGTCGACTATCATGTCAAAAACTCCCAATAATCCTGGCAGTAACAATCAGCAAAGCATTATTAGGAGTGGCTTAAATTGTAGGTACCATGGATACACATCAAATTCCAGATGTTTAGTAAATTTTATGTCCATAGTTTCCTCACTCTCCTTTTTTTTTTTTTTTTTATAGGAAGTCTTGTTGTCCTGGGTAAGGCTCATAAATTTAGGTTCAACCACCCAGCAGAGGCTGCTATTTTAAGACAAAGAAGATTGGTAAGTATATTTTTCTTTCCAAAATTTTTTCATTGGTGACTAACCTCATTATTTCCTTTTAAAAGCGTCTCTGAAATGTATAATGCATCTTCATGTCTACTTATTCACTTGCTTCATTTCCTCCTTGTAGTGGTCTGTGGTAACACTAAGCCATTATGGGTTAACACCAGTGCCACTCACAGTCTTGCTTAGCAAAATAAAATGGAGATCCTCTTAAATTATTTACCATTTCCTTGTTTTGTAGTCATGACTTCATTAAGGCTGATACAGTTTCACTATGGGCAGAATACCGAAGCAGAAAGACCAATTTAAAAACTTTCCATAATCAATAATATTCTCAGTTATCCTTTGTTTTCTCACTGTTCATCATTAAATATGCTAAAAACAATTTTAGTTGGAGAAATTATAGAATTAATGAGTGCCTCAGTAATATTAGCCGTGGAGATGTTCTTTTGTTACATACAGCAGAGTTAGAAATGGAAATTAAAAATTGATAAAAGGAAATAATTTTTATGTGGGGTATAAAAAAGTAACTCAGTACTACTGAATATTATTTAGGAGATAGCTTATTAAGATTTCCAAACAGATTTAGTCATCTGTAAGGTCACCATTTCAGTATGCTGAAGCACATATTAACAGCAGCAATAATAAGTTGTAACATGTCAAGTTATTAGAATATTCTTTCATCCAATTCCCGTCTTGTTTTTTTTTTTAAATAGATTAGTGAGGCCTCCCTCATTTTGAGCAGTAGATCTTTGGAATGGCTGGACTTGGATGGAAATTTCACTCCTTCCCCTCCCTATATTTTTTCTCTATTTGAAAAAGAAAGGTAAGTTTAAAATGGAGTTTCCTTGAAAGCAGGGTTCATTTCAAAGAGAATTAGAATGCACAAATTCCATCGTGTTTTATTTACTTGTTTAGATTTAAATTATAATGATGAATAGCTCCAGTAAGAGAGATTGAGCGAGAACCACTGTCAATTACTGTATACCTTGGTGGTTAGGGCACTCTCCTGAGGTATAAGAGTACTTGTTGCAAATGAAGCAGAGTAAGGATTTAAAAATAGGTCTCTTGCATTGCAGGTGAGTGCCCTATCAATGAGCTATAGGGTATCCTGGGAAACACCCATACCACCATCCCCCAAAAATGCCCTTTATGGTCAACCTCATTTATCTTTTGTACAAGACTCAGTCTGATATGCATACTCTCAAAACACCCCAACTGGACTAGGTCCTGCAGGAGAGAGAGGTGGGTCAAGTTCGAAAATCTTGCCAGGGTTTAGGCATGAGCTAGGGTGCTGAACTGACTAGCAGGAAACGTAGGCATATTACCACCAGAAATTTAGTCTTCTAGGGAATTTAGGCACCTTCCGCTAATTTTGGGTGTCTGATTTGAGATTACTAGGATCTGCTTTTTCAGAATACTTAGCATAGGTGGGTACATCACACTTTCAAAGCACAGCTTTCACTAACTTCACTTGCTGCTGTGAATTTTCAGCAGTTCTGCAAATGAAGATCCCCCAGGATATCAATTCAGAAACCCAGAAAATGAGAAACCCAGTTAGTGACAACCAGGGAAGACTTCGGTTTAAGTGATTTGCCCAGCATCACATAGGAATTGTGTGGCCCAAGCAGGAATCTCTTCTGCTTTCAACTTCTTTAACCAGGAAACCATCCTTTCCCTTCCCTGCCTCATTTATCATAGAATCATAGGACTGGAAGGGACCTCAAGAGGTCATCGAGTCCAGCCCCCCGCCCTCAAGGCAGGACCAAGCTCCGTCTACACCATCCCTGACAGATGTCTATCTAACCTGTTCTTAAATATCTCCAGAGAGGGAGATTCCACCACCTCCCTTGGCAATTTATTCCAATATTTGACCCCCCTGACAGTTAGGAATTTTTTCCTAATGTCCAATCTAAACCTCCCCTGCTGCACTTTAAGCCCATTACTCCTTGTCTTGTCCTCAGAAACCAAGAGGAACAAATTTTCGCCTTCCTCCTTGTGACACCCTTTTAGATATTTGAAAATCGCTATCATGTCCCCCCTTAATCTTCTTTTTTCCAAACTAAACAAGCCCAGTTCATGAAGCCTGGCTTCATAGGTCATGTTCTCTAGGCTTTTAATCATTCTTGTCGCTCTTCTCTGTACCCTTTCCAATTGCTCCACATCTTTCTTGAAATGTGGCGCCCAGAACTGGACCCAGTACTCCCGCTGAGGCCTAACTAGTGCAGAGTAGAGCGGCAGAATGACTTCACGAGTTTTGCTTACAACTCACCTGTTGATACAACCTAGAATCATATTTGCTTTTTTTGCAACAGCATCACACTGTTGACTCATATTCAACTTGTGGTCCACTATGACCCCTAGATCCCTTTCCGCCATGTTCCTTCCTAGACAGTCGCTTCCCATCTTGTATGTATGGAACTGATTGTTCCTTCCTAAGTGGAGCACTTTGCATTTCTCTTTATTAAACTTCATCCTGTTTACCTCTGACCATTTCTCTAACTTGCTAAGGTCATTTTGAATTATGTCCCTATCCTCCAAAGAAGTTGCAACCCCACCCAGTTTGATATCATCTGCAAACTTAATAAGCGTACTCTCTATCCCAATATCTACATCATTGATGAAGATATTGCACAGTACGGGTCCCAAAACAGACCCTTGAGGAACTCCACTTGTTATCCCTTTCCAGCAGGATTTAGCACCATTAACAACAACTCTCTGACTACGGTTATCCAGCCAATTATGCACCCACCTTATCGTGGCCCTTTCTAAGTTATATTTGCCTAGTTTATCAATAAGAATATCATGCGAGACCGTATCAAATGCCTTACTAAAGTCTAGGTATATGACATCCACCGCTTCTCCCTTATCCACAAGGCTCGTTATCCTATCAAAGAAAGTTATCAGATTAGTTTGGCATGACTTGTTCTTCACAAACCCATGCTGGCTATTTACCACATGCCTTCCAATTTCTGCAGCAAAGGGGTCCTATAGACAGCATCCTCCTTCACTACACAACCTTGATTGATCCACAGAGCAGGTCTGTCATATGCCCTGTGTGGAATATATAGTATGTAATTGTGTAATTAAAGACCATAGTGCATGCTGAATTAATGCTGCACAAGCAACCTTAATCTGCCATTTCCTAACTTTTGAGTGTTTAATTTTGCAACGTTAATGTTCTTTTAATCAAATTGTGGTGTATAATTTAAGTTATAAAGAGGATGCCACTTGATGTATTTATAAAACTAAATATAATAATTTCTTCCTCTGGGAGAGCTGTCATGCATCAGTGACAACTACCTGGTGAATTGTATTTAATTGTGTGGGAAAGAATAATTACTACTTCCATAGTTCACCTGAAGCATTAACCTATTTCTTTGCTTGAGTTGTTCTAGTGCAGTGGCAAAATTGATCAACTTTTAAGTCTCTGGAAATGTTTTGCTACCTTATATTTATGAACGTGAAACTTGCATCCATATACAGTATTTGTGTGCATTTTTTGTGTTACTGGCTTGCTTTTCATTAGGACTGTCAAGCGATTAAAAAATGTAATCATGATTAATTGCGTGATTAAAAAATTTAATCGCGTGCGCCTCTCCTTTGATGCCCCCATGGCATTTCAATGGGGGCAGTGCTGCATGAAGCCCAGGATTAGCTAGAGTCCCCAGATGACCTCGTGCTCCATGCAGCGCTGCCCTTTTGAAGTGCTGTGGTCGAGCATAAAAGGGACAGCGCAACATGGAGCCCAGGATCAGCTGGAGTGCCCAGCTGATCCCAGGCTCCGTATTGCACTGCTCCTTGAAAACACCACCCCAGTGCCTCAAAGGGGGAGCACATTAGGAGTCTGGCCCTGGCTCCGCATTGCGCTGCTCCTTTGAGATGCCGGAGCAATGTGGAGCCAGGGATCAGCTGGGCACTCTAGCTGATTCCCGGTAGGGAAGTTAAAGACTAGTCTACTATCCGATAAGCAAATGCTTATCAGATACTCAGTTGACTAGTGGACTAGTCAATTCCCTCCCCCCCCCTTTGCTGTCTCTGTCAGATAGAGGACTAGTCAATTCCTTCCCCCCCCCTTTTCTGTCTCTGTCAGATAGAGGAAGCAAAGGGGGGGAAGGGGTACTTCAAAGTGGCAGCACCACACAGCTGTGCAGCGCTGCCACTTTGAAACCCCAAGGCGGCATTTCAAAGGGGCCGCTGTGGAGCCCTGGGTCAGCTGGGGACTCCCTAGCTGAACCCGGGCTCTGTATGGCATTTCCCCAGAATCCGGGGTTAGTTGAGGAGTCCCCAACTGATCCCGGGCTCCATGTTGTGCTGCCCCTTTGAAGCGCCGCAATGGCACTTCAAAGGGGGCAGTGCAGCATTAACGCCTGCGATTAACATGTTAAAACATTTAATGCGTTAATCCTGGACTGCATTAATCATAGGTGTTAACGCATGTCAATTGACAGCCCTACTTTTCATCCTCCAGGAATGCACTGTTGTGCTCTCCTTCTCTCAGGATAACATCCTTAGATCCTCCTAAACTATTTTCTTTTAATTTTTATATAACAATACCTTTCTTTACCAAACAATATTTGGTATTTATTTGTTTTTTTTTTAAATGTATCACACCAGGTAATCTCCTCTCCCTCAAAAGGTAAAAATTTACAAATAAAACCTTTCCTAATAAGCTACATGATTCTGGGAGATTCGCTACACTGTTTTGAATATAAAAGAGGTAGACACTATGTTGTAAGCTCCCAGTGATGTGCATTAGATATCTGCACACATCTCAAGGCAGATATGATTGTACGTCACTTTTGCCTTTTTAGCAAGTGTTTGAATTGCCTTCATAAACCAGATAGGATTGAGGACTATTTCTGATTGATTTCCAGATTATGTAAAGATAGTAGAGTCCTTTTTGATGGGAATATGCTGTATTGTCTTATATAATATTATTTTCCATTTTACCATGCTTATCTTAAACTGTTATTCTGAAAATGAAATATTTTGATGTCCTTGCTCATTTAATTTTATCATAATTATTGTCGGTTACTGAGATCTTTTGTTTCTTTTTAGTAGTCTTTACAAAAAGTTAAACTAGGTACTAAATTGTTTCTTCTACCCTTTCACTAAGTGATAAGTGCCTCTGATTTCAGACAAGTGGATTTGCTCATGTGATTGAAATATTTCCCCTGATAGGGTCAGCATAAAGAGCTATAAAATAGGACTAACATGGTTTGAAGTGCTCTGTAGATGTTGCAAAGGCCCTCTCTACAGAACAGATCAATGTTACATCATAGAAGTATATCTGAAATACAGTATTTACTGTAATATATTCTTTATTCCACAGTACAAAGCATATAGGCCATGAGGAATGTAAACAGTCTGCTGAAACGAGGTAAGAGAATAACTTGAATTTAATATGTAATTGTACATTTCATCATGAGGTTTTCTGCACAGTTCTCTAGTCTGTAAATGTGTATGCATCCTTGTACAAACTTTAGGCATTACAGATATGTGAGGTTCAGGGAAATGGATACTGGTACAATGATGCAGTCAGCTTCTTCCTCTCTAATCTCTGACCTTGCCTCAGCCTATTCAGATGTGGGAATTGCACCATATTTCTCAGGATAAGGAACATTTAAGTTCACTTTTACAGTATTGTTTAATTCAGGGATGCGGAACCTGTTTTGGATCGGGGGCCATTGCCCCACAGAATATTGTTTAATTCGGGGTGCAGAACCTTTTTTGGATCGGGGGCCATTGCCCCACAGAAAAATCAGTTGGAGGCCACACACAAGTGAGAAGCCAAAAAAAAAAAAAATCCTCACTGACATGGCCCCTGACTGAGAAGGAGAAAGACACTCCTCACATTCATCTCCCACACCAGAGCCTTGGGGGGCCCAGACTAGTTGATTTTGTCAGAGCAGCAGGGGGTGCAGGAGTGCTAGCATAAGCCCTGCAATGCTGGGAGAGGCCCTGAGCTTCAGGGGCCAAATCCAGGCAAGCCAGGGGCCACATCCAGCCCCTGGGCCTGAGGTTCCCCACCCCTGGTTTAATTGCTTAATTTTCTGTATTTTGTTATCTGTGGATTTCACAAGTTAGAATTATTGGGAGGATGTCAAAATCATGCTGATTTTCTGGCCTCTCTAATCTTTCCTTTCCCCATTGGCTTCTGTAGAGAGAGGCAATCTGGACCATGATAACCAAAGTGCATTGTGTGTTTGCTTTGACTTCAGCACACTGAAGCGTAAGAATGGCAGTTCACAGATGAGACCGTATTGTGTGCTGCCACTGTGCTAGTCTTATTTCACAGCTGATGCTTTTTTTGATTTAGTGGCTTGCCAATCCTAATAAACGCCAGTCCTAAGAGAGAGAAACCTAACATTCTAATGGGTTCAACCTCAAAGCTGTGCTGACCGGTTGTTGTGGGATTTTCAGTGTTGTAAGTGCAATTTAACAAATGGATTGCAGCCTTGCAAAACATCATCTCATCTCAGGGTTCTTTTTCCAGTCAAACTGTGAGTTTGAAAATGTTGCTTCTGAGGGAATGGGGGGTACTGTTTCTGAAATGCTCCAGTTAGCAGGAACTGTGGAGCAACGGCACCAACTTCCAACATTATTCCAGCTCACATAGGACTAAATAGTGTCAAAAATGTTCAGGATGAGTGAAATTCACACCTGTGCAAAGAGTCAGCAATCTTGAGCCTTCTAAGAAGGGCTTACATATGACTCAAGCAGAACTCAAAGTGATGCAAAAGCTGTATGCTGGCTTTCTACACAGGGCTGGAGTTCACCCATTTGGAGTAGCACTCTGTCTCTGGGACTTCTGCATTAGTCACGACATAGCTTGCCATCTCCCGGGCATCAAGAATAATGGTAGCAGATCACCTCAGCAGGGACTTCTCCTCTCACCATGAGTGATTGCTACGCCCAGATGAGGCTTGCACGATCTTCAAGAGGTGGGGAACTCTCCTACTAGACCTGTTCGCCATCAGACAAAACAAAAAGTGCCATCAGTTTTGCTTCCAGTGAGGAGTTGACAAAAGCTTTGTCAAAAGCTTGACAAATGCCTTTCTCCTGTCATGGTCAGGAGAGCTGATGTTCGTCTTCCTTCCACTCCCTCTTATCGGCATAGTCCTGGTAAAAATCAAATGAGACAAAGCATGGGTGATCATGGTTACCCCAGTATGGCCTCATCAGCACTGGTTTGGCATGCTTGTGAACCTGTCAACAGCCCTTCCCTGGCACCTTCCCAACCGACTGGACTTGCTATCACAGCCTTATGTCTTTCCACCTCTCAGCATGGGATGCTCTGTGGCTAAACCCACAGAGGGATTCCTGTGGAAGAATGTACCTGCTCGGAGGAGATCCAGCAGATCCTTTTGGGAAGCAGGAAGCCATCCTCTAGACTGACTTACCTGGCCAAGCAGACAAGGTTTTCCTGTTGGGTGCCTGGACGTGGCATTTGCCCCTCACATTCTTCTCTGCAGTCCATCTTGGATTACCTTCTGCAACTCAAGAATCAAGGTCTAGCTCACACTTCCATCAGAGTGCAACATGCAGCCATCTCCATGTTCCACCAGCCAATCCAGGGTCAGATGGTGTTTTCTTATGACATGACAGATTCCTGAGAGTTCTTAAGAGGCTTTACCCACAAGTATGGGCCCACAGTGGGATCTTAACCAGATCATATCCAGACTCATCTGTCCGCCCTTCAAGCTGCTGGGCTCCCGTTCCCTTTCCCGCCTGTCCTGGAATGTTGCTTTCCTGGTAGCAGTGACATCAACAAGATGGATCTCAGGGATTCTTGAGCAAAAGGAAGGGCAAGGTCTGTAAATATATTTTCCTGAAGCGGTGTCTCTCTCTCATTGCTGGACAGATGCTCAGATGCATTATTGGTATGCCAATCCTAACTGATGTTATTGGATCTGCATATTTAAGTAGTAGAAGGAGTTGGTCATATTCTTAAGAGGAGAAGGTAAGGCAACTGAAAAAAATCACGCTAGTCATTTTTTTCTTTCAGCACACCATCTTGTCAAAGAACTAAATGCCAGTCTTGCAGCATGACGATTTCCCTTCTGTAACCTTCAGAGATTTCCCTTTGTGATTGTTTTCAAAGATCACATATGGCTGTACTTTCAATTAATTCTGCATGTAATTATGTAACCTTCAGTGTCTCAAGAGGTAGGAGAAGGAGATGATATAACATGTTCATGGCCATTTTAGCACTTTTCCCTTGGGAGTTTGCAAGCTTTAAATTCTGTGCTATATTTGAGTTAGATATGTATAGCTAGTTTCTTAAGATGGTCCTGTGCAGTTGCCGTAGTCCTCTACTTGCTGTGTGTTATTCTGAGGCTGTGCTATGGGAAAGGAGCATTCTGACTGGACAAATGTCCTGGAGAGGGGATATAGTATAGAAAAATGCAAATCAGCAGATGGGCTAGAAACCCTGACTTGTAGTTGGTTTTATTGCCAGCCTGTTTTGCTTTGTAAATATAAGTAATGTCTTTGTAAAAAAAAAAAAAAAAAAAAGCTTTTATTTTTTGTTTAAACAATAAAGAAGCATTTAACTGGAATGCAGATAGGAAGTAAGAAGAGGGAAACCGTCTGATTTGAATGATGGTTTTTCGGTTATTAAATCAGTACAATTGTGGTGTGTTAAGGGCACACTATTTTTGTTTTGGGTTTTGTTTTTTTTTTTTGGTAATACTACTTCGCTTGAGTTTCTTGTTTTGAGCCTTAGTGTTATATTATGAGAAGCGCTGTGCTTCATTCCAGTGCTGCTGCTGCCATAGTTACTGAAAACTGCATTATGCTGTAGAAGCCGCCAGCCTCTGCATCAACCTTGGAAGTGTTTGGGAAAGAGGGGAGGGGAATTACACAATAGGACTCCAGAAAGCTGACGACAGAACAGGCTGGAGAAAATGTGAATCTACAGCAGGTTCATTTAACATACCTAATGCAAACTTTGTGGATAGAAAGATGAGATAAAAAATAATCCAGCTTTGTTGTTATAGTATGAAGATTTTCTCCGTAAATTACATTGAGGTTAAGGTTGGTATTTTTTGGCTGCTTACTAAATACTTGTAAATGTTTACTTGGAGGAGAATGAAGTGTTAATATTTCTGTTATTTGGTAAATCTGCACGCACAATATTAATTTCTGCTTTGTTATGTACAATTCTACAAAGGGAATTTATTCTGCCTTCTATTTTTAGCTTGCTTTTTGACATGCTGTTTACCACTAAATGCTGGTCTTGTCCTGATGTTAAATTATTTTATTTCCTAATTGTGTGTGAGAGAGAGCGAGAGAATATAAGGGATAGAAAGGATGCAGGCACTAGAGGGACCTGATCCCTGCTTGAAATATAGATTGAGAATCTCTGAAACAAGATGAAATCTTACTGGTATGTCCAGTACAGGGTGTGTTTCTATGGACCAATCAAGCAACCACCTGTACCTATCTAAGAATGCGCTAGTTTGTTTTTGTGACATAAGATGACCTTCATTTTTATTTAATCATTTAGATGTATTCTGAACATATAAATTGGACTTTAAATTGCCTGTTCGAAAAATTCATCTACCAAATATGTTGTCATTTTATTTTCTTGTTTGTCTATTGTCACTTCATTTGTAATTTCACTTTACTTTATCATTTTCACAAACCAGAGAGGATAATTCTGGGTGACTGTAAAGCATTCGGAAAGTAAAAGGGAAACATTTTGGATTCATGTAATCAATTTATCACTGAATGTAGAATAATAGGTCTGAATCCCAAATCCAAGCACATCACTTATCCTCAGTGCCAGTGGAAAAACACTCCATGTTCTACCATACCTGTATTATATAAGCGACAGTCTGTGAATTTTCATCATCTCTCCTCCTTCTCCTCCTCCTCCTCAGAGAAACCATTATCAGGCTATGAATGTGGCTGGTTGGTGTTCAGTCCCAGCCAGTGCATGGTTACTCAAGCCTTTCTTCATTGCCATGTCTGATTTTTATCTCATAATACTACTAAAATCACACAGAAAAAAGGCAGGGACACTGAAATGGCAAGAGAATTGTAACTGGCATGTGTATCTTGCCATTTTAGCAAGACAATATTCTCTTCCTCTATTACAGAACCAATAACCTCAGAGAGGTAAAGATCCATAGCTATTTGTCCCTATAATGAAAACATCGGATTATAACAGTATGCTAATAATTGTAGCCATGGTATTGTCTAAGTGTTACAAAGCATTTTTGAATGCAGTGGGGTATGGGTATGCTTCTGTGTACTGTGTCTTTAAGGGACATATTCCTAGTATATAGAGCTTTCAATAGCGTAAGTAGGTTTGGCTAGTATTGTTCTGCTGAATGTGCAAACTCAAAACCGTTAACAATGGGGAGGATCACTAGCTTCATGCCAATTCAGCAAAAAGAAACTCTTGTGAGGGGCTATGCTAGTGCTCTTGGTACTGCAGCTGCTGCAGGTAACCCACAGGCAAACAAAAGATGAGTTGTTTAAACTGTGACACTTAGCACCAGTGTTTTTTCCCTGCTCCTGAAAAATGTATACTGAGAACCTCCATTTCCCCAGCTGATATTTACTTATCTCTGGAAGGCATTTGATGTCTTAGGATCAAATGCAATGTATGATTGTTACTGTGTTATCTTTTTGATTTCTCACTTGTAAACATTTTGGGATACGTGACTTGGCTAATTTATGTTAAGGATGTTTGAGGGTTTATATACAGAAAGCTACAAACTTGGTTAATTTATATTAAGAATGTTTGAGGGTTTATATACAGAAAGCTACAACCAAGAAGTGTTAACTTGAAAAGATTATTAAATAGTATGTTCTGTAGAGGAAATTGTTTTGGTTTTTAGAGCACAGTTGTGGCATGGTAGTTATTTATTTGTATTAATATTATCTAAATCTGCATTTTTTTTTACATTATTGGCAATGATATATACAGATCCTTCATGTCTTTGTATTTTTTCCATTAGTGATGATTATACACACACAGATCAGCTGCCCTAATAATACTTAGCATTTCCATAACTCCACGAGTTTAAAGTACTTTACTAAATGCTCATTAGTCCTCCCAGCAGCTTGTGAATGAAGATGTTTTCCTTTTATATATAGGGCCTAGAGAGGTTAAGTGATTTGCCCAAGGTGACACTTCCAGTCAGTGACAGAGATAAACCATCATCCAGGTTGCCTAACTGCCTCTCCACTCTGTCCACCTTTTAAAATGAGCAAAACATTTATATGCCAATAAACAAAATATAATAGAACCTTGTTTACCCCATTCTCCCTTAACCAGCTTTCCACATTTACTGGAAAAAAAACCCAGGACTCCAGGGCAAGATGAGGGTGAGCTCCCCTGTGGCTGCTAGATGGTGCTGCAGCCTCTCCTTTTCCAATTTATCCAGAGTTTTGATTATCTGATGTGGCTCCTGTCCCAGTTAGACCGGATAAACATGGTTCTACTGTACTTTAAAATTCTAAACCATTATCAGAATGTATGTGCAGACTTAAAGCTTACAGGAACTATGTTGTTTTTTATTTATACCAATGTAGTATGTAAAGACCTCAATTGAGATTAGGGCCCTGTTGTTTACTATGTACAGAAACAAGAGGCAGTCTTTGCCCCGAAGAGCTTATGATGTAAATATGTAAGATACAAAACGTGAGAAGGGAAATAGAGGCAACAAGAGATGAAGTGACTTGCCAAAATTACAGCAAGTCAGTAATTGATAAACCCATATCTTACGATTTCCATTCTGGCTATCCTCTAAACTATGTTGTCTGTCCATTAGACTTACTTTTGAAAATTATATGGGGCAAAAGACTTCTGGGTTAATTCAGGAAAAAAACCTATTTGATGTCAATGAAAGCATTGTCTGAATAAGACCTGCAGGATTTGGACTTTGTTTAAAAAGCAGTTTCTTTCACTGGTCCACCTGTCTTGAGTTCTGAGTTATATACCTTGTGTTGATGACACACACACCCCTAACTCAGAAATGGGATGGTTATCTCATGTGCTTCTGATATCATCAGTTCTTGAAGAGCAAATATGAACTCCTTGAAGAATGGATGTCTTGGTGAATTGATAATAGGATATAGAAACTTTTAGTTCAATAGTAGGTCATCAATTCAACCTAGTCCAGGTGAACAATTGGTGGTCTCAATCTACTTTCTAGAGCAGTGATTCTCAAAGTGTGGGACCATCTTGCAGGTCAGCTGCGGCTTGGGGGTCGCTCCCCAACCCCTCTCTCCCACTTGCACCCTACCTCCTGCCTAGATCCTGTACCCCACCCACTTGCACCCTTCCTCCTGCCTAGATCCTGTACCCCATCCCTATCATGCTGCATGGCAGCCCCTTCCCACACACTGAACCCCTCATTTTTTGCCCCACCCCAGAGCCTAGAGAAACCCATACAATCTATTAGCCCTGGGACCTCTGAAGAGTTACTCTGGCCTGTGGGAAGCCCTGAACCTCAGTTCTTCCTCTCCTCCCTCCCCATGGAGTTTGAGAGGAGTATGGTATCTTAGTCAGGGGCCACATAAGTGAGAGTTGGGGGGGGAGGTCGTTTTTTGTTGTGGTGGGTTTTTTGCTTTTCACCTTTGTGTGGCCTGTGACTGATTTTTCTGTGGGCCAGTGTTCTCTGACCCAAAAGAGCTTCTCACCCCAGCAATAAATAAAGACAATATTGAAACCTTTTATTTTGGACATAAATTAATATTTTACTTTATTTAAAACAAAGTTTGGTTAACATGATAAAGTTAAAGTGCTTAATTTATTTATTAATTATTAGGAATGTGAAAGGTTAACCAATTCCCCGGTTAACCAGTTAGCATCACCCTAAACAGGTAATGCTTACTTATTCCAGTTAACTGGTATACCCAAACCCCATCTTCGACCCTGCACCTTTCCATTAATATCATAGAGAAGTTCGGCCCCTGACCACTTACCAAATTCTTGGAGTGCCGTCCATCATCAAAAATTATTGCCCACCTCTGATAGAGAAGAAGCAACCTGATCTAGCAGTTAGAGCAGATAATTTGGTGATGAGACCTGGGCTCTTGACTCTATTGGTGACTGACTCTATAAATCTGGATTATTTGCTTAACTTCCCTAGACCTTGGGGGGGGGCTTGACCTGTAACAAGAGAATAATAATCAAGTGCCACTTTTGCAAAGCACTTTAAAATGTTAAGATGAAAGGCACAAAATATACAAAGTATTTTACATATTTAAAGAAAAGGCTCTCCTTAGGATTACCTTAAACAAAAATGATCCATGACCATATTAAAAAAATTTCCCCTGCTAATAATGGAATTTTGTTTTACCGTGAGAAACCTAAAGTGTGGTGGCATTTACTGTTTTAGATGGCATTGTGACATATTATGACATCATATGCGCATATGGTGATCTGATCTTGGCATAATTTTCTAGCCTTTGAAAATATTTGTACACCTACTAACTTGAATTTTGTCTGATCCATGCATCTATCTTACATAAAAATGTGTTTTAACAAAAATGATGTTTGTTTCTTGGTATAAAGTAATTATCAACATTTCTCTCAGCAGAGAGATTGATGCTATACATGAAGAGTACAGGCAGAAGCTGAGAGATCAGGAAGCTTTCCACCGGGAACACATTCAACAGCAGCAACTCTATGTTGAGGATTTAAAGCAGCAGATCCTGACCGGACAGATCAAAGCAGAGCAGGAACTAGAATATGACCAGGCACTAATCAACGAGCAGATCAGAGAAAGTGGGTGTACATGTCTTTCTCTCTTTCCATCTCTTTCTCTCCTACTTCCCTTCCTTACTGCAATTCTTCATCTTCTGATTTCATTTTTCTCTTCTACATTTTTGGACCTGTGATTGGAGTCTTTGATAGCTCTCCTAATAAGGACAATAATAGGAGAAAATTAACGATCAAACTTTTAAATGTTCTGTTATCTCTTGGATTAATCCTGGGAAGCTGAAACCCAAGAGGGTCTCTCAAGGCTGAGATAATTCCCGATGAAAGGCATATAGGAAGTTGCCCTCTAAAGATAGACTGTTGTGCATACCCAACACACTGATGGAACAACTCATGTTTGCAATTGCAGTAAAGATCTGTGAGTGATATATACTGCCCACTTTGCCCACAGTATCATGCTCAAGCTGCTGTTCATAGGAAAGTGTGTGTGTGTGTGTGTGTATATATATATATATATATATATATATATA